TCCCAAACATAAACTCCATGATGGGGGGAATTCCACAGGCACCTTGTCAGAGCTGGGAATTATACTATGCCAGGCTGAGCCTCAGGCTGCTGACCCCTGGGGGCTAGTGATACCAGCTGCAGCAGAGCCTGCTTTGGCAGTTCCAGAGCCTCCCACCTTGCCATGATCAATCAGGCTCGGACAACTATTCGTTCAGTAACCTTGGCTGAGGGAAGATAAGAAGACTTTTCCTAATTTTCTGAGTACTCTAAACAAGAAAAAGTGAGAGCAAGAATGAAGAGAGAAGAGAGAGGGAGGGAGCGGGAAAGAGAAGATAGAGAGGAGGAGAGAGAAGAGAAGGGAGAGAGAGAGATAGAAAGAGACCTAATAAAGATTAAGACTGAGGAATCAGTGGATGGCATAATGGTTACATAGCTGGGCTCCCATGTGGTTGACCTCGGTTTGAGTCCCAGACCTGGTGGCTTAAAACTCACACCGGGCACATGTGCATGCATGCCCAAGATCCTGAGAGGAGAATGGAAGAGAAGGGATTGTGGTGTGGCCATCCCCTCGGGGGTTGATTTCTCACTTTCTGTTTCTTTGTCTCTGTCTCTCCAGCAAGCAGATCTGCCTTATAGCAAAAATCTCTCTTCAAAAAAGAAAAAAAGATTAAGATTGAATTTATCAAAAACAAGATAGAAAGAGGTTTGGCACAAGATTCATTTGGATTAAAGAAAATTTTCATATGCCACTTCCTAAGGCCCAAATTAATGAATAATAATTCATACTCTCTATAACAGTTCTTAGTACTTGAAAACGGGAACAAATAAATCAACAGAACAAAATAAATTCTATTCTATGCATGCCAAGAAAACAAAAATCCAAGAATGGCAATACAAGGGTGAACTTTCTACTTCTCCCTACACCTTTCATGTGGGCACACAATATTTAATTGCTGCTTGCTTCACCATCTCCCCCAGGATTTCATAATAAATTCTAATGTGCACCAGAATCAGCATGCACTTCCTGTGTTCTCCCTCTGGGTAGAAGAAATGCTGCTAATGAGGGAGGGTTCAGTTCCCATTTGCTTGATGACCAGAAAAGCTGACTCTTCAGTCCTCACCTCCCTGTTTTAGAAAAGGCACACCCGTTTTTTTCACCCTCCCTCTCTCGAGCAGGAATTGCCCACAGAACCCTGTGTGAACCCAGCGATGCCAAGGCGCCTTAGCCACGAGTTGCTGATTTCTCTCCGAGATTTAGGACTTGAATGTCTGCCCGCTGGGCTGTGGCATGTGGAACTCTTTGCACAGCGTTTGAAATCTGGCCTCTAACACAGAACAGGGACAGCCTGTTCAGTGAGGGAAAGGGCTGCTTATTTGTTTCAGCTTTGGATGCCAAAAAAGGGGATGAGGGGAGAAATCAACAGCTTGCTTATTTAACCATTGTCAGGGCACAAAATCTCTATTTTCCTTACTTTTCTCAAGGGTTAATGATCTTGAGTTGTGTGTTCAGGGTTAAAAGATTTGTATCTTGTTAAAACTGACAACTTTACTAGTGACATCTGGAAGCACTATTTCTAGTCATTCCTCAAGCCTATAGGAGTTATAATTCACATTTATGTCTATTAGTTTCAATGGGTTAAAATGATCCAAAGGGGTAGACAAATTATTATAAATCCTAGGAAGGAAATTTGAAGGGTCCTATGATTAACTTCTTGACTCTAATCATCCTAAGTAAATTAAAATCTCAGCCTACATGTTTTTAATTTAATTGTATTTATTATTATTATTTTCCAATTTGCTACAGAGCATGCTTGCTCACAAGAGATACAAAGAGAGAGAGAAAGGGAGAGAAAAAGAGGAGAGAGAGATTGAGAAAGAAAGCCACCAGGTTCAAGACTCCAACTGTGGTTGGCCATGTGGGAGTCCAGAGTACCAACCACCACTCCACCTGCTGGCCCCAGCCTACTCTCCTTTAAGAAACCTAGGGAATGAAATACTTTATCTCCTCAAAATATATACTACTGTAAAGTTGTTGATTATGGCAGGAAAGTACTCAGTCAGCACACGTTCCTCATTTACTTATGTTTGTCTAACTTCCTAAAGTTCACTTGAAATTACCACTGAATGCACTGATCCCAATCTAGACTGAGAAGCAGCTAGGGACAGTTATCACTTTGAGTAAATGGAGAAAGATCAATAGTTATTTCTTTTTCCATACAAACGAAGATATTGAAGCCATGATAGCTTTGGATGCTATGCAAAATATATTCTTATAGTGTGTAAATGTATAAGATGCAAATGATTTAACACCAATTATGTTTCAACAGGACCATAGTCACATTTGCCAGACTAAATGCTTTCATGCCCATGAGTGAGAGGTATGCATGAGGGTCTTTGCCTGTACATACTTCTATTTATTTATCCTCTCTGAGGTTTTTGTGTCATTATTGCTTTATTATTTGTCCTTCCTTCATAACTTTTAGTATTTTCACTTTTTATTACATTCATATGATAGGCTACAAACCAGAGCTAAATATAAGCCCAGAAAAACTTATGTCGATACTGATAATTACAACTTATTGAGCACCTACTTGCATGTGCCAGGCACCGTATTGGGTGTTATGGATGATGAAAACAAATAAAACCTAGGCTTTGCTCCACTGACGTACAATCTACAGATGATGGACGACAGTGCAGGCAGATGGATAGGTGATCACTCTACTGAGAGAGGCAGTGCTATGACAGAGGTATCCACAGAATGCTATAGGAATGGGAGGATGTGGGGAATGCAGACCTAGAAGGATTACAGGGGATGAGGTAGAGAAATAAGGATGGGAATTCCAATAAGATTTCAGAGACAAAATTTTTGAAATCTCCAACTGAGATTTAGAGGGAATATAGGTTTTGGGCCAGACTGGTAGGGGGGGAAAATAGGGAATCTCAGCAAATGTCAGAAGGGGACAAAACCACATCTGAAGGGATATGTCATTTAAGAAACCTGCAAGTAGCTTTGAAACATGTGGGACAGAAAGTTCACTTGGTGTCTGAAGAAGCAGCCAGAAAAACAACAGAGGGAAAATATGAAATGTCTTTCAGTTAGCAATAAAGCAAGGAACAGCTTAGGTCTCATCAACAATGTCTATGATATCATGATAGGAATCCAAGTGACCAGCAACAGTAAAGTTTGCTGGCTTTGATCAAAATGCCACTCAAACATTTGTAACTTAAATATTTCTACTCTGCAAGGAGATCTCAGAGTTCTTCCTTACATGTGAAGAGTTAGTCCCCAAAAGATCTTAGAATTGTGGAAGTTTCCCTCTAAAGACTTATTTGTTTACAAGAACTGCCCCAGGCCCTGAACAAGTAATTCCAATGTGGAGAAGTCTTTTGCTAAAAAAAAGAGAGCTCCTGGTTTGAAGAGAAAAATGGGTCAGATACACAAGACAGGCTAATGCTAAGAAACAGGTTTCACTAAAATTTGTTCTGCTCCCTTGAAGTTATTCTTTTGACTTCGTTATCTTCATTGACCAAGTGACTTTTCATTAAGAAGCATGGTAAATGTTTCAGTTATTCAGCTATTGTCAAGTCACGTCATGAAATGAAGAGAAGGCTAAGATTTAGACTACACTGTTTTCTTCACACAAATTAGTCTTTAGAGGAAAGACTCTCTAAAGGGCAGAGAGAACGTTGAAGAACATGTTCAGTTGAGGGTACCTGAAGAAATGGCAGCTGTCACAATCTAAAGTGAACTGATTGTGAATTTGGTATTTGCATTTTGGAAGGTCTTTTTCTTGATTGGTTGAGGAAGTAGAACATGCATGAGTGGGCTGAACAGATTAGAGCATCCACAGAAGGCAATAAGATGTTCTTGAAATATATATAGCCTATTGGGCAGAAGCTTAACATCCTTTTCAAGTCATGTGGTTTGAATCCTAGGTTGTTAACCTATGGAGTATATCTCACTCCTTCCCACTTTCAGAGTTCCCTGGATGAAGTTCTGCTATGACCCCTAATTTCTATAACATATAGAATTATTCTCTCTCTCATGAGACAGTTATGAGCTCAATGATGAAAACTTTCATGTCATGGTTATCCTAATGCATTTGATGATGGTGCAATGATCAAAAAAAGATGCCAGTGATGACAATTGAACGTCCCTTTGCCTTCCCAGCCTCCTTCATATATTCTCAGGCATAGGATGACAAAGGGAAGTCCACGAGTCACATGAAGAAAGACTGTAGCCATGGGTACACGATCAGGAGCTCCTCTGTTTGCCTCCACCTCCATCCTCCTCTTCATCGCCCTCTCTTATTTCCTTCTAACATTATTTTATCATCTTGCCACTAACCTTCATCCTCTTCCCAAAGTGTCGCTCGATGACTCATTCTAATAAACCAATGCTCAGCCCGTGTTTGGCACAGAGTTGGTACTCAAAGAGTTGTTGAATGAAATAATGACCCTAAAACTCTCTAAGGTAACAACACTTCAGGGGAGCCTCTCTTCAAATGAAACAATGCTTCCATTTATGTGTTGGAAAG